GGAGAGCTAGCTGCCCATCAGCCCCCCCCCCAATCTTTCTAGCTGCAGCCCCACTCTGCCCCTAAAGAGTAATGAAATCACGGAGAGCAGCACCAAAGCCAGATGTCAAGGGAAGGAACCCCCTATTTGATGCAATGTGGCCCCCCTGTAACCGACCCCAACACAATTTGTCAACGTTGTGTGCTTACTGGAGGACATCAAGTTCTGAGCGCCGTTTTGCGGGCGCCAAATGTTTCTTTAGAAGAGATCCTGAGTTTTGCATTTGATCCTTGGCAAGGCTGCTTAGAAAGTGAAGTGAACACTCAATGGCAGGCTGGGCAAGGAGGTGGCCCGGAAAAGCACGGAACGTGAACTTGTTTTGAACTCCGTAACTACACATCTGAGCCATCTCTGAAGCAGAGCAGAACAAAACAAAAATGTAGGCCAACTTTGTTCCCCTGCTCTGCTGGGGTTCTTTGTCTGAAATGCCCCCCGCCACGGAAATCCATTTTTTGTTGTACACACACCCACATTGTCCTCCCTACATACAGTACCTGTACTCTGGCATGGGAATTAGATGCTCCACTTGTTTGGACACTGGCATATTTATTGGTGTTTAACGTTTCATCTTCTCTGTCTAGATGCTTGTGCAGGGGAACAAAATAACCTGCATCCTGCAGTTATATCAGAAGATTATTTAGCAAGCATGCCACTTTCTGTATTTCAGATTCATTTGGAGATGGGTATCACGGCCCCCGGAGAATATCTCAGTGGAGAAATGGAAATGAATTATAAACATACAAATAACTTTGCCGGGCTCCTCATTGGAGGCAGATGGCTTTTATTTATCATCTGGTTACCGCTTCTAATTTAAAGCTCTTGAAACATTTAGGAGGGACCCTTTGAAATATTAAAATGCTTTTTACCAAAATCAATTTAGGAAGGCGTTGGGTTCCAATGCCCTGTGTGTCGCTTCTATGATTATCCTCCTCTCAGAGGACCCATATGACATCTGAGCATCCCCCGCCGCTGCCCCTCCTGCCGCCACGGCTGCCCTTCTCCCCATTTATCAGCCTGTTGTGCAAAGATGGAAAAAGGACTGCCAGCTGAACCCCAGCAAGGCAGGGTAGCTATGAGATCAATAAGCACCAAGGAGCTGTCACAGGGCGTCAGAAGTTTTCCATCTCCTCACTTCGCTCTCTACTTTCTTTACCGCTGAGAGCCTCCGCGGCTGAAAGAGGAGACCGTGTCAGTGAAATGAAAAAACACTTAGAAACTCTGGCAGGAAATGATCGGGATCATCCAGGCATGTAACAAAGTGGCCCCACATGGGTCTTAGTTGAGAGGCAACGGGGGTCTTGTAAGGACCTTAGGCTGAAACGGCAGGGAGCCTTCAATCTCGTATCTCGTATCAATGCACCCGGACAGTGCTGTTTTGGAGGGGGACCAAAGTAACCAGTGGGGGGGGGGTGCATTGAGAAAGTGGAATCTGAAACATGATGGAAGAGCTTGAGAAAGCCAGCCTCAAACTAGAGCTGAAATGGATTTGGGCAGGGAGGAGGGGAGAAAATGCTCAAACAAATCCATTTCAAGTCTCAAATCCACTTCACGTTTCAAGTATGTATATTGTCGCACACCAAGCCAGTCTCTGAGTGGTGCGAGATTCCAGGGGTTCCAGGCGATTACCCAAGATTCATGTTTCCTTTGGAATGAGGTACCGTGGAGATGGTGGTGTCTAAAGTAATTGTGACGAACAGATTATGCTAGTAGGACTGCAAGAAGTTTTGTAAAGTGGATTATTTGAAATATTGCAAGACCATGAAGAGAATTATTAATTAAGGACAATTAAATAATATAGAAATTAAGAAATGTATAATAAGTGATAAAGAACGGAAAATCATCAGAGGTGTTGATGGAAGTCTAAAAATATTGTCTAAGATGAGAAGTTACGTTGTATGACTTTTGGAACCGATATGTTAAAAAATCAATAAAAATGTATTTTTTTAAAAAAAGAGGAGATGGTGGTGTCAGTATGGTTTATTTACATATATTTACATATTTACATATGTTTATTTACATATATTTACATATATACTATGTGTCGTGGCTGGATGCAAAGGAGTGGTGGGAGGCACCAGCCGGGGGAACTCCCTAGGGAACCCCCAGGGGAAGAAGGCTCTGAGCCAGGGGATTGGTGGTGGAGAAGGACCAGACTGGGAGGAGGAGGTCAGAAGCAGAAGAGTTGACAAGGTTTAATGAGCAGGGAGAGGCTGTGGCAGAAAGCAGCTCAGACTCTAAGGCTGAAATGGAGGCTGGAGAGCAGGGTGCCCAAGGTAGGGTTACCAGACATCCCCAGTTCCCAGGGACAGTCCCCGGATTTGCAAATCTGTCCCCGGGAAACATGGCAGCAGCAGCCTCAGCAGCCCGGAGCCAGCCTGGTAGCGCAGTTGGCTCTGGCTGGCTTCAGGAGCTGCTCGCTGCTTGCTGCCATGGCGCCCGCCATTGTTCCTCGCTGGAAGTCCCCATATGATGTGTCTTGTGTGCAACACAGACTTCCGGCGAGGAAAAATGGCGGGCGCCACAGCAGCGAGCAGCTCCTGAAGCCATCCAGAGCCAACTACACTACCAGGCTGGCTCCAGGCTGCTGAGGCTGCCGCTGCTGCTGCCACTGCTGAAGGGGAACTGGGGACATCTGGCGGTACAGATCTCCTGCCCCCTTCCCCCTTTGTTTTGACTGATTGGGGGAGGCTCAGGAGTCGTGGGCGGGCAGCTGTTGCCCAGTTTTTTAAAAAACTCTGTGCATTTATGTTTCACAGGGTGTGAAAGAAGGGCTTTGCACCTTTACACAATATGCATGTGTTCTTGGGCCCAGGGACTTTTGCCCCACCATCCCCACTACTGACTCCCTGTTGCTACTCAGCTTCAAAAAAACCAAAGTGTCCCCAGATTCATTGAAATTTTTTTGGTAACCATAGGGCCCCAAGGGGCAGAGTGGGGAGAGGCTGCTGAATAATCCAGGGAGTCTTCCCCTCCTGCTGTGACCAGTTCCTCTCCCCCCTGGTCTCCTAGAACTCGCAGAGAAATGAAATGGGCAGAGCAAAGGTGAGTTGTGCACAGACGCAGCCTGAGATGGTGTGGGAAATACCCTATAGAGGAGGCGTCCTAATGGACCCTGGGATAGCGGGGACCTTCAGTCCTCACAACTGCTTCATCAAGGCAAGACCTCCTAGAACGTGTTGCCGAGACAGACCCCTGATCTGTGGTTTGTTTCCTCAAATAAAGATTTAACTGCACTGGCCTCGGGAGCTTCATTGTTTTAGCTGTTGACCTACGCCTGACTCTGATCCTGACACTTGGGGGTGTTCACAGCATTAACACCCCAAGAGGGCCTTACTTCCCTCATAATAATATTGATATTAATAATTTATTATTTATACCCCACCCATCTGGCTGGATTTCCCCAGCCTTGGTTTTAAACAGAAATCAAGCATCGTTCTGGTTCTCTCCAGCTTCCCAGTCTGCAACTTTGCTTCTAGCTTCTTAACTCACATCACTCAAATCTCTGTCCTCACCAGCTGGTTAAGAGAGGAGGCCACACTCACCTTTCATCTCACACAAAGCCCCTTCCTTTGTTCCCTTAATGGCCCCTTACCTAGGCTATCACCTCACCAGGAAGCTAGCTTGGCTATTCCAAGAATTAGAAGGGAACCCAGACATTCAGCCTAATTCCTTGCCAAAAAAGAGAGAGACTCATAACACTATGTTTCCACCAATTTTGACGCTCCCATCACTGTCTGTTGGAGATATTGCTAGACTTGACAATAATTGATAGAATTAAGTGTATTTAGGGGCCCCCGAAATCAATTTGCTTAACAGTGTGTTAATTTGCTGTAGCCAGGGAATTTGGGGAGTGGGGGGAGGATAAGTAGAAATATTGAGTTGAACAGACTGGTAATTAAGGTCTTAATGTTTGCATTTACCAACCAGAGTTTTTAAGATTTTGACAAAAATCCCTCTAAGTCATATTTCTATCTGGGGACTATAAAACAGCAGGACATCTTAGATGAGGAACACAAAGCTTCAGCTGGATTTCTGAGATGGGACCAGCTTTTCTGAGAACCAGCCTGCTCAGGTAAGACTGAAATAGCATAATTGTTGTGCATGGTGGTCTGTCGGGGGTGTGGAAAACTACTTGTTTTTTTGATATCTCAGGTAGCCAACAAAACCTGGAGGCTTCTCCAGCCCAGGCTAGGCTGAAATATATCCAATTATGCTGCGTGTCGGAAGATTTAGGGCAGACCAAAGAAAGCACTTTGCTCCTGCAAGATGTAGTGATGGCCACCAAGTTGGGTGGCTTTCAAAGAGAGGAAGTGAAGCTCCTCTCCTCTCTCTCTGCATCATGTGGCCAGCAAAGAATGTGTGGTCTTGTTTCCAAGCTTACAGCATGCGTTTGAAATTATATTCTGTATTTTCTTCCCAAGAATATTTCTCCTTGCAGCTGTATGGAATGACACATGTATCAGACCTATGAATCTGTAAGTAAAACATTTTAAACTTACTTAGCGTTGTGTGGTCTGTTCCTTCCAAAAGGGGTAGAAAGAGGGGAGTGTTGTAAACAGGATAGAAAAGGACTAACTACCTATACTGCTAACGCTTCACTGTACTGCTAACTTTTGTTAATTTAATACTCTGCTAGTGGGGCTCTCTTCTTTGAAAGTCCTTTGTTTTGAATCCAGGCACCCAGCCAATTTATTTTGCTATTCACCCACACACATGGGTCCACAGGGATTCATATAGTCCCCTCCCCCGAAAGGGCATCACATTCTCTAACCACTTTGGCAACCTTTCTTCATCCCATCTGAGCCAAGCACTCTCAAGGAACTCTCAAGCACTCTCAAGGAACAAAGCAGCAAAGGGTTTTGCACAGTATTAAAAACAAACAAATTTATTAAGGCATAGGTTTGCACAGAGTCCAGGGATGGGCAAACCTGTCAGTTTCTCTGCTCTTTGAACCTTTGGGGCATTTTCTTCTTCTTCTTCTTCTTCTTCTTCTTCTTCTTCTTCTTCTTCTTCACATCTCTTTTCAAGAAGAAGAAGAAGAAGAAGAAGAAGAAGAAGCCCTCACATAAATTTGTCAGCGTTTTAGGGTGCATTTCTTCCAATATACGTATTTCGGACTGCAAATCTCCCCAATATTCACATTTTTTGCACTTAGCATATAAAAAATGATTGTATTAAGAAACACTATCTTCACTAATACATATGTTTTTCTTAATTCACACTGTCCCCTGACACATACATTTTGTTCACTTTTTTTTTACGTTATTGGACTTCACCTCCCATCATCCCTGACCAAAAGTGGCCAACAGGGAGAGGCAAACAGCTTTCACCTGACCTCCCAGCAGTGGAGTCACTGCCACTTCCTGGGTGAGTGACAGGAACACGGGTGCTGTGTGGGTGCAATGGAGTCACCCTGGCCCTCCCACTGGCCCACCAGCACAGTTCTAGCCTCCCTCCTGTCTCACCTCACCTCCTCCCTGCCAATAAGCACAGGTGATTCAAGAGCTGGGAGGTCAGGGGTGGGCCAGCAACCCTCCATATTGGCTGTGACTGTTCTTGATAATTCTCTGTGCTTGCTGGGACCAATGGTAGTGCAGCAACATCGGGGGGGGGGCATAAGAAGATCCTGCTGGATCAGGCCAATGGCCCTTCTACTCCAGCTTCCTTTTCCTACAGTGGCCCACCAGATGACCCAATGGGGAGCTTGCAAGCAAGATTCAAGCGCACGAACACTCCCCCCTCCCTGGCTTCCAGCAAGTGATATTAAGAAGCAATAACTGCCTCTGACTGTAGAGGCAGAGCAAAGCCAGTGTGACTAATTGGCACTGATAGCCTTCTCCTCCATAGAATCATAGAACTGTAGAGTTGGAAGGTACCCAAAGGTCATCTAGTCAAACCCCCTGCAATGCAGGAATCTCAACTAAACCATCCATGACAGATGGCAATCCAAGTTCTGCTTAAAAACCTGCTGTGAAGGAGAGTCCACAACCTCTCAAGGGAGTCCGTTCCACTGTCTAACTGCTCTTACCGTCAGAAAGTTCTTCCTGATGTTTCGTCGGAACCTCCTTTCTTGTAACTTAAAGCCATGGGTTCGAGTCCTGCCCTCCAGAGCAGGAGAAAAAAAGCTTGCTCCTCCTTCTATGTGACACAGCCCCACTAAATTTGTCCAATCCTCTTTTAAAAGCTGCCCAGGTTAGTGGCCATCCGTGTTTCCTGTGGAAGTGAGTTCCGCAGGTTAACGATGCGCTGCTACCTCTGCCCTCCCATTTGCTCCTGGCATAGACTCCCTCTAGCGCCATCTCTGATGCAACTTCCCTGCCAACCGGCAAGACAGCCTCATTCTGCCTGGGGCTTGTTCTCTCCCTTTTGAAGCACTTCCCTCAGCGAACATAGATAGATTTCTGGCCTTAGCCACCAGGGGGACTTAAATATGCATTGCAGCATGAAAATTACAGCAGTCTCATCGTCTATGCAACACCGAAGTGTCAGGAGTCTGTGGATCTCATTCTCCAAAACTAGTAGTTAGGGAGAATAAGTACACGTCATTGGGCAGGAGATATTACACTGGAGGCTCGAAATGTCACATTGTTTTCAATATTGAAACAGAGAGGCTATTGCATTCTGGCTGTTCCTTAGCTATCATGTGTCACCGGAGGCAGAAAGTGGTGAGGGACAGGCCACTGAGAAGGAACAGAAAAGCTTCCTTTCACAAGTGGGTAGTGCAGCAGCCCACGATAGAAAGAACCAAGGTTCCTAAATAGCACCCAGCTCAGGGCCGGCTCTATCATTGGGCAGAGTAAGGCAGCCACCTTGAGTGGCAAGTCTTTGGTGTCATGAAAAGGCAGCAAATTCTTATTTCCCCCCTGTACTTTTATTAACAACCCAAAACTGCAGTAGCAGGGCGCTACATTGTACCATACACAAAGCAAACAAGCAGTAAGTAATAAGAGAAAGAAAGGGCAAGACGCAAAAATAAGACATCCAGATTTCCAGAGCTCGTGAATTTTGAGCATCTAAGTCCAAAGCATAGGACATATACTCCTACCTTTGACATGATCCTACATCCCCTTGGAAACGCACAGTTCAGTTGTATTATTCCCCCTCAATAGCCCAAAGTCCTTAAATTCTTACACCAAACAGAGAAATGCAGATTGTTCAAGGTTTTCCATTGCTGGGCTGTTGAAATCCTGGATGCAGCTAGCACCCATGTCAAAAGCAAATTCTTAGATGTTGAATTGACTATTCTTGCATTTTTATTTGTAGAGAAGGAGAGAGCTGATTGTGGGATTTCCTGTCTTGGTTGGGAGGCCTTGAATCCTATACACCCTGACTTTTTTTGGGGGGGGGAGCACCATTTGCTATCCCCCTCCACCCCCTTAGGCAGCCAGTGCTACACAAAACGAATCAGACTAATCACAATTTCAGGGGTAAATTGTGAGGCCATCAGAAAAGGATCAGGCCAGTTGGCCCATCTGCTAGTCCAGCATCCTGTTCTCACAGTGCTGACCAGATGCAATGACAGTTTTAAACTGATGTGAACTGTACATTATCCTCCAGTTCCTTCACTCGCTTTCAAAATTGCACGTTCCGAAATGGATGCTGTGTGCTCCAGAGGGAACAGTGCTTTACTGGGTCCTGCCCTGTGTATTATTTTTACATGCACACACACACGCACAAAAGCAAAGAGCAATTTCAAGTTATTGGGCTGTAATTTCTGTGTTTTATGATGTCGTCAAAACTCCTCCACTGTGGCTGAAATCACAGCCCTGTAATTGACGCAGCTGATCACACTTAACACCTCCCCCCTTCCTTTTTTATATAATATGCCTCACCTGGGGGGAAGTTTATTTATCAAAGTATTTATATGCTGCCCCCTCAACCCCCCCCAAAAAAAACACATTAGGGGGTGTATGTGAAATGACAAAAAACCTTTAAAACCAATGGCAAGTATTCATTACAACCAAGGGACATTTTTAACAATTTCATAGGTCCGTCGGCAGGAGGGGGGGAGGGGAGCCTTCAAGAGACACCAGAAACGTCAAAAGTGAGGACGCCATCTGAGACTGCAGAAAGACTGCCACGCAGCATGGGATTGGTGACATGATATGTGTGGCTTCCAGTTGAAAGCGTTCAGGCGTCTGAAACACGAGGGACAGCTAACAGCTCTGCTCGAGATGATCCCAGTGATTGATCTGGGACCACTTCAATTGGGAGAACTGCCACAGTCAATGTTGTTGTTTAGTCGTTTAGTCGTGTCCACCTCTTCGTGACCCCCTGGACCAGAGCACACCAGGCACTCCTGTCTTCCACTGCCTCCCGCAGTTTGCTCAAACTCATGCTATTTAGCTTCGAGAACACTGTCCAGCCATCTCGTCCTCTGTCGTCCCCTTCTTCTTGTGCCCACCATCTTTCATAACATCAGGGTCTTTTCCAGGGAGTCTTCTCTTCTCATGAGGTGGCCAAAGTCTTGGAGTCTCAGCTTCAGAATCTGTCCTTCCAGTGAGCACTCAGGGCTGCTTTCCTTAAGAATGGTTAGGTTTGTGGCTGCTTCTTGAAAATACTGACGTGTTGGATCTAGAAGGTTTTAATAATGTATTTGGTTGGCATGCATACTTGTGGTACGATAAGGTAAAAGTACATAAAGCGTTTAAAAATCATATTGTTAGAAAAGCATTGTTTAATGTCTGGATAAGATATAAGGATTTGTTAGAAAAGAAAACCCCAAGATGGTTGTCACCAATGGAAGCGAAGGCACAGAAAAAACTCAATATGGAGGCCAAATTCTGGAACAAGATGGAGACAGATTAAAATTGCAGAGCTTTGAAAAATTGAAAAACAGAGTGCGAGATTGGCTTCATTATTATCAAATAATGGAGGCATACAATCTGGACAAAAAAGTTGGTTTCCAGGTGGAAAAATCAAAATTGGAAACAGAATTGTTAGATCCAAAAATTAAGAATTTGTCAAAAATGTATAACTTGCTGTTGAAATGGAACACTCAAGATGAAATGGTGAAATCAGCTATGATTAAATGGGCACAAGATGTTGGACATAACATAATGATGGCTGACTGGGAACAGTTATGGACCACAGGTATAAAATTCACAGCATGTAATGTCCTAAGAGAAAATTTAATGAAAATGATTTATAGGTGGTATATGACACCAGTCAAGCTTGCAAAAATTTATCATTTGCCCGACAATAAATGTTGGAAATGTAATGAGACTGAAGGTACATTCTTTCACCTTTGGTGGACATGCCCAAAGATTAAGACATTCTGGGAGATGATTTATAACAAAATGAAAAAGGTATTTAAATATACCTTTCTGAAGAAACCAGAGGCCTTTCTCCTGGGCATGGTTGGCCAATTGGTGTCAAAGAAGGATAGAACTTTTTTTATGTATGCCACAACAGCAGCAAGAATACTCATCGCAAAGTATTGGAAGACACAAGATTTACCCACTCGGGAAGAATGGCAGATGGAGTTGATGGACTATATGGAATTGGCGGAAATGACTGGCAGAATCCGAGACCAGGGAGAAGAGTCAGTGGAAGAAGACTGGAAAAAGTTTAAAGACTATTTACAGAAATATTGTAAAATTAATGAATGTTAGAAAAATGTTGGAATGAAGTTATATGGCTTTAGTAGAAATGTTATAAGGAATTAAGTATAAATAGATTAATAGAGTATTAAAGGGAAAAATAAGGTTAGAATCTGTTAAGATAATTAAAGGATAGAAAGCAGAGGAAGATGGAAAGGAATTGCTGAAACAATCAACAGAAGTGGAATACAAAAAAGAGAGGTGTGAGGAGGTCATTGAAATAAGTGAATGAAAGATAAGATATTGAAATTGTTTGATGTTTTTTAAACTGTTTTTGTTTTGTTCTGTTAGTTTAATGTGTTATGTAGTGTTTTTGTATTGTATTGTATTGTTCTTTTTTCTTTTTTGTGTGTTTAAATTGTTGGAAAAGTAATAAATATTATTTTTTTTTAAAAAAAAAGAATGGTTAGGTTTGATCTTCTTGCAGTCCATGGGACTCTCAAGAGTCTCCCCCAGCACCAGAATTCAAAAGCATAAATTCTTTGGCGATCAGCCT